GACCTCTCGGTCCACAGTTCGACTCCCCACACACTTCATTTCGCCATCCTGTCATCTGTCTCATTTGTTTCCTGACAATCACCTTGATTTCGTGCTCTCAGATCTATAAAAACGATTTGCGACAGAATGGACGATAAGCACTGGATTGCGGCTAGGGTGAGTCGCTCATCGAAAGGCTGTCCAGTGGGTGAAAACCATTTTGGTTCCATACTCTGGGGAGCTGGGCTTTGATGTTGTGCTCCCATTTTTGTCATCGTTGGCATTGTTCACATGGATGAGAATCGCATATCTGATGATGGCGTCTTGCCCATATGCATACTTTGTGGTCAACCAAAAAAATACCCATTTACCCACTATTGACCCAGTCTTCTTTGCATTGATTTCCCCTTTCATCTGGCCCAATCCTCTCTTTTATCTCTTGCCACTGTTAAAATCCCAAACAGATAAAAGCAACGTGAACAGTCTGATGCATTTGTTTTCTTTTTTCTTTCGGCGTACACTACCTACCGGTGGTTATCAACCTTTTCTGTCAGCTCAGGTGGATTTCCATGTAAGACTAACTTAATCCATGTTTAATGATGCTAAATTAGTTTCAGATCATATTTGGGTCACTAACTTTACTCCGCTGTCGGAGATTAGATACAGTTGCGGTACCGTGGCACATTTCCTTCCGTGCCAGATCGCAGTTCGTACAAACTGGCTTCCGGAACCATGGAGTTTCACGCATCAATAAGGCCCGTCTGATAAACACCTTTGAGTTGAGTATGTAACATTTCCTAGGTGTATTACAGCGGTCGCAGTACGTTTCCTGGTGGTTTCTCCGTCAACACTTCAATGAGAGGAGTGCATGGTACTAGCTTAGTTCGCAGCGTCGTGAGATTGGTCTCACATCCAATCTCTTTCGCATCAGCTGCCTATCGGTCGCTGTGAAAGTGTAGCAGCGAAATAAGATCCGATTTCCTATTGGAATCCGTTTGTTCAGTGTTCAGGTTCACCGGGTGGAATCCATACGTGAACTGGGACGTACGCGCACTGTCATACGTTGGCCCCATTATGTCTGTCTTGCTTTTTATCAAACCTCTACTCCATTGTCGTTCCTGTTGTGAACGCGTGGAGGAGTAGCATAATCGAGCAACACTTTTCCACATTAGGAAATTCCGTGCAATCCAGTTTTCCCAGCCACCCAACAAACTGTTTGGAAAAGATCGAACCGCTTGTAGGAACGGTGATTTGAAGCTCCGTCCAAATGATAAACTAACTGATGTGATACAGATTGCCCCCCTTTTACTAATAGCTCGAACCAGGGTGGATGCGAATCAGAACGGGGACTACGGTGTAGAATAGGCGCAATCCAAAAAAGAGCCGAAAAATTGATCATCCCCGAACCTCTATTCGGAGCAAAATCTCATTATTGTGCTGTAAATTAGTTGTAGTGTATGGTTAGGATAGAGATTATTGAGTCATTTTGGTCAAGCTAAAAGAAACGACACACTAATAAGTTGCACATATATCGTATCATTTTGAAAACAGTCACAGTACTTTTTAGTTTTGCGCACTTGGCGGGATGTCTTTCAAGTAATCCAGTTCTGTCAGTACTATATCTATAGAGGAATTTACAGCGGGCATTTCTGATTTTGTAATCGTGAACATTAGTCTTCAGTCTTGGGGGCAAGATACCCGTGTAGGCCCCGTCACCACTAGGGTCGAACGTCCGATCACGTGGTCATTCTTTAGCACCTTGAAGAGTGACGCGTAATATTATCACTTGGGATTCCCAGGAATAAAGCGGCTGAAGAACAAAGTCAGTAACGAGCGTTGTCCATAGTATGTGACCTGCAGTATAAAGAATAACAGAGTGAAAGCACATCACGACTCGCCGCAAATCGTGTCATAAGCCGGATCGTATTTGATCTCGTGATATAGGACAATAAAACAAAAAGACACTCATTATGAGAAACGTGAATGGAGTTTCAAATGCTAAACAGTGTTATCACATAGCTCACTCCCTTTCTCCCCTAGAAGGTCGGTGAGGTGCAGCAAACCTTCGAAGAGTGAAACGTTTGCGGACTGAATGCAATTAATGTTGATGTGCATAAGGAAAACACAATAAAATAGGAACACTGTCTGTTGCAGTCAATGTTGGTAAATTATGAACACGGATTGATGCGTGTAAAAATGCTCTGGAAGAAAACAATTGTTGCCAGAAGAGGAACAAATAGTTTGAGTCGCCGTTCGTGAAGGCGAGTTGTAGCGGTTCTTCAACCGACAGTTTCACAACGGCTGTTTTCTCTTGCATCTTTCTTCCCCCTATGTTTCCTGATGGATCCGTATACGCTGGACGTTATCGAAAAATCACAGACAAGAAGCAACTTCACCCAAGGCTGGAGTGACTAGCAGCAGGACGGGTTCAGCTTTTGACCAATCCTCTGTAATTGAGGACTATGAAGACATGGTTATGTAGTAGATACTACGGATACGAACAACAACGAAAAGACTCCAAGAAAGAGATCGTCTGGTTGACTGATGGATCCTGTTCCTCAGGAACGCGTAGTGGCTTCAGACCGACCATGCTCGATAGTTGTCACTATGTTTGGTCTGCTTGTTCCGCATTTGCTTCCACATGGTTGAACACATTGTTTGCTTAGAACATCCGCTCATGCATCTGTAGTGGAAAAGATACTACATATACGAATAATAATGAAATAAACGGTACAAGGAACGGACTCAGAAGGATTGTCCGCTGGTCGATTGATCCTGTTCTTGTGATGTATGGTTCCGGTCGACGAGGTGTAGAGGAGCTGAAATGGGTGAATGCGACAGTTAATGGACCGCTTGACGATAACTGATAATGCTTGCTTAATCCCTCAGCAACACTCGGAGAACACGTGCGTATTTACAAACAGAATTTTGTATTGTGTATTAGGTACTGAGCATATTAAAACAAGCTGTACAATTAGATCAGATAAAGTGGATAGAAAAGGAAGACACTACACATCCTTCTCCCTTTTAGAAAAGTGTCCGCAAGGATCGTCGATATTCTGAAACCGCTTCTTTAGCTATGGCTAAATAAGCTAAAAGATCTATAGGTCTTTCAGATTTGTTTAGGTTACTGCCATCTCCGGTGACGTGGTTCCACTTTATAAGGTTTGTGAGTTCAATAATACATCTTTCTTTGTTGAGCTCTTCGCTTTCAGACACTCTCGAACGTATTCAGGCTTAAATTCCGGTACCTTTAAGGGAACAATAACAATAACAATAGACGGTAACACCCCGCCGCGGTTTGAATTTTAACGTGCTCTCTGCTACAACCTGTTTTTTACTAAAAAAAGTGGAATATCTACCGATATTTCACTCAATATACGCTGCCTGGGTTAAAACCGAGGCACTTTTTATAAGTCCGTGACCAATTGCAGGTCACTCAGTTTTACAGGGTTCGTGGTAGTTTTTCAGTTTGCGTAAACAGTTGTTTACTGGTTATTGTTTTTGTGGCGTACACTGTGTTCCAGTTTTCCAGTTCTGAAAGTNTCCACTGTATAGCGTTGATAGGGAATGCTCATGCATCCCCAGGGACAAAGTGGCGGGCAACACCAGCCA